CCTTCCAGTCACCACCCACAAAAGAGAAACTTTTGCACAACTCTAAGGAACATGAAAGGAGAAGTAAAAGGCAGGGGCAGAGCTCCCCTTCATCTGCCTCCTGCAAAAGGAACAGGCCCAGGCCCAGATGCAAAGGGGATTCTGCCCCCTTCTGCGGTGAAAAAGCCCCTTCCATCCCTGCCATTAAAGGGCTCTGTCTTTACAGCCGGGATCTGCAGGTCTGCAAACGTTCGCCTTCGATGTTTTCACTGTGGTTTGCTGTTTTGTTGTTGTTTGGAAAAGAAAGAAAACAGCTTTGGCTCCCTCTTATAACAAACTATCCAGGGTCTGTCACACACTGGAAATGTTTTCATCTTCCTTTGATGTTACCATTTTACTATGTATGCCAGCCATGGGAGATCTCCCACAATCCTTCCCCATCCAGTTCCCTCCCCATCTGTTCCAGCGATGATTATGCTCGGCTCTGCAAAAACATTATCATGGAAAGCATCGGTGACACAAGCCACCAGCTGGACTTCTGCAGTTGTTTTCCTTTGCGGATCGCAAAGCATACAGAAAGCTTTAATGGGGAGGGGGTTCTCCCAGACCCACCAGCCACAGGGTCCTGCACATGGATTCTTTTCCAGGCAAACCGCAGAATGTAAAGTAAAAGCAGAACTAGAACCCAGTTCCTTTCACTTTTTATCCACTGATGGAGCAGCTGGCTCGGTCTGGACAAAAACTGTTGTGCAGCAGCTATTCACATTCTGGGAACCTCTAGTTTGGGGTGGGGGTGACTTTTTTTTTCCTGGAAAGAGCCTGGAAATGTCTGTTGGCCCAAACAAGATGGGACCATCTAGAACCAAGTGCAAATTATTAAACACAAGACTCAGCTATAAAATTCCAAGAGAAACAGGTTTAAGTCAAAAGTGCTTTCTGCTGAGGGCTTTATGGAACTAACCTAAAACACTTCACTGGGGGTTTATTGGATTAACAACCTCTGCATACAGAGGGAAAAGGGAAGATTCATGAAATGATGTACACAAAGAAGCAACCAAGCTGCCTTTTGGGTGGCTGATCAGCTTCACAGAAGAGCACAAGAAGAGTTTGCAGGATCATACCAAAGACCTTCCACATCTAGTGTCAATTTCCACAGAGGCCAACTGGCTACCAGTGGGGATCCCATAACAGGCCAAAAACACAACAGCATCCTTCCAGCTATTTTCCACAGAAACTATATCAAGTCTAGTATCCATCAAGAGCCTTCTTGGTCTAAGTAGTAGTACTAATATCCACCATTGACTTGTTTACTCTCCTTTTAAGGCCACCCAAATTAGAGAGGCAAAGATCAAGTCAGAATTCAGCCTTCTTGCACTTATGGGACTTCCTGCCCACACCCAGCTCTGGCCAGGAAGCAAACCATGCAGAGATCAAGCCCACCAACACTTGGGAACGCTGGCAAATTATTTCTGCAGAGTATGCAAAGTACACCATTTCTGGGGAAAAATACACAGATTCTCCAATTTGTTGTGCAAAGAGTGCAAAGCCGGTAGGTCACATGTGCAGACGCAAAACTTCACTTGAACTCACTTCCTACTAGACACCCAGGCAAATGCGCGATGTTAGGTGGACTTAGGAGAGAGAGACAGTGGGACAAAGTCCAGGCAGCCGAGCTGAGGAAATTGGATAACTTCCCACCCACAAAGCAGCTTCCTCTCACACACCCTCACCTGAGTTGGTAGCCATCGCTACACCCGATGGCAGCAAATTCCATCTCTGATGAGGTAGGTGCAAATGTTCTTCCTTTTGTCCATCCTGAATTTCTCCCCATTCAACGCCATGGGATGGCCCCACCTCCAAGGATTATGAAAGCGGAAGAAAAACATCTCCTTACGCATTTTCCCCACACTGCATCCCTTTATCCATGCCTGTCCTATCTCCCCCGTTCACTTTTTTCCCAAGCAAACACACCGCAAAACTTCGTAACCTTTCCTGCTGCTTGAACATTTTGGGTTGTCCTTTTCTGCACTGCCGCCAGACTTGTGACAGCCTTTTCAAGGCCACTTTTCCAGAGTTGTGATAGTCTTCTTCAGGCAATTATTGCCTTAATTACATTGGTTGTAGTCAAAGCATTTCACACAAAGAGCTCTCAAATGCAGTTGTATCAAATGTATAAATTGGGTAACAACTGGACATTGTCCAGCTGAAGCTGCACCACAGATTTGTGTACGGGGCATGATACGAGCAGCGTTATCTGCAGTTCCTTTCCTAATTATGCCTAATATGGAATTCACCTTTTACGCAGCATCTGCACATGAAGCGGGCATTTTCGTCACGCTGCCACCACTTGGTCAACATTGCCACCCTGACCCACCAAGGGCCCCCTCAGGCCCCCTCTGTGTGTTTGTGAAGTTGGGATCACCATCTTCATTCTCCACTTAGATGTCCATTTCGGCATCTCTCCCAGTTTGGAGAGATCCTTCCGGAGCTCCTGATAATCCCTTTTTGTTTCGCTACCCTAAAAATATTCGTCGTTATCAGCAATCCTAACTTCCATTCAGCTTGCAGACTTTTAAGAGTTATCTGACCAGTCACAACAGAGAGCAAGCTTGGCAGACCTTTCTGATATTCTTACCAAACCCTGCCCACGACCAAACCCAACGGATGCTCAGTATCGTGCACTATCAAAAAGCGAACATCAGCGATCAGACACTGCCAATTACTGCATTAATTGCATGCCAGTTATCGGATGCAGTCAAAGCATCTCGCACAAGAGCTCTCGAATGCAGCTGTACAAAATATCAATTGGATAGCAAATCCCAACACAAAATAGCTGATGATATTCAAATCTTTGTTTATTGTGCAACATCAACCCTTCCTGATTGGAAAGAATTTGGAAGACACCCCATGGCTTTTAGGAAAGAATCAAAACACTGGAGGATGTGCCATGGATGAAATGCCCCAAGGCTCATGTGGGTATCAGTGCTAAAAATTGGGGTTCGGCTGCTTGGGGGATATCGGGCTACTCCCTGGAAAAATAGAAGGCCGGAACGGGAAGGCACAGAAAGAAATCTCCGTCTGTGGCCAAGCTCCTAAAGAAATGGCGCCTACTGCAGTGGCCCTGTCCTCCTAGACCATCGCGTGGTGCTCCGCCATTTTGGAAAATCTCCAGAGCAAGAGGGCAGCATGTACACGCAGACACAGCCCTCCCTTTGCTTCCCTGTATTCTCACATGCCCACTTTCCCCTGTACAAGTCTCTCCACGCCAATGCCCGGCACTGAATTCGCCTCGCCAAACACCCCGAAAGGGAATCCCCTGAGGAAGAAGCGGTTCACATTTCTCCTGAACTGGGCCGGAAGTCGAAGCACCACAATCGATGTGGATGAAACATTTTGTGAACGGTACGGCATGACTGTCTGCACTCGGCCCTTTTCTGCCTTACTGGGAATCCACGTCCTTCGATTCTCAGTTCTTGCAAAGTCCCTCCACATGTACACACACTCAGAGACACACCAACTCCAGGGTGAAGAGCAACCTAGGAAGGTGGGGCTTTTCGGCACGGGACAGATGCTTAGACATCTCCTCCTCCAGGCAGGAGGCACCATGTTAAAGTAGACCTGTTGGTGCAACACAACCAGCCATGGGTCCTTCAGCCGGCATGGCTGGCCTTCCGGAAAAGGCAGCGGCCATGGCTGAGCAGCCCAAAGCCGTGAACAACGGGGCTCGATGGACTCTGGGCTGGCTGGCCCACATTGCTGACAGGGTTCCTCTCTCGTTTCTGCCCAGTCCTCAGGAGCTCCACAAATATGCAAAATCCTGCAGAACCCCATGTGCCGTGCTAAGATTTCTGGTCACACGATGGGCTCCCCGGGAGAGAGGCGCTCCGTCGGCAGGCCAAGCCAAAGCGGGTGGTTGGTGCCTCCTCACCGCAAGGCCAGACGGAGGTCCTGACAGGGCTGTGCCCACAATTGCAGAACAAAGGCTGTGACTCCCTCAGCCCTTGATGAGCGTCATCCCTACACACGACCATCTCCTGCTGAGCTACGGCCAGCATATCCCTGCAAGGGAGGGCCAAGTGGAAAGGGCCACCTTCCCATCGGCTGCCAACCCCTCAGCAGGAAGCCCGGTCCGAGAAGCAGCAGCTCCCTCCTGGCCAACCCCAAGGGGGCTCCTTGGCACGTTCTGGAGGCGCCCATCCCACACTGGGTGATGCCTCCCTGGTCCTTGGCAAGCAGCAGTGAGGGAGAGAGCGCATACCGGGGCAGTGTCCCCTGGAGCCCCACGGACAGCACAGCACTGCATTGGTCCCCAAGGGCGACTGGCGTAGCTGACCGTGGCCATGGGGCGAGGCTGTGCGTGTATCAGCCCCACTGGTCAGTGGGGCAGGCCACTCGCCCCACGTCCGCGGAGGAGGTGATCCCAGGCACCCCTCCGGGTGGGCTGAGCGGGGCCCCAGCCCGCCGCGCGGAGCCTGCGCCGGCCACTCGGCCTGGCTGGGAGGCTGCCGGCTGTCACGGGCGAGGCCGCGGCGGGCGCGGGCAGCCGGCCCCTTCCTGCGTGCCCTGGCCATGCGCCTCCTCGCAGCCCGGCCTCGGCCGGGCACCCCGCGCCGCCGCGGCGCCCCGTCCCCGTCCACAAAGCGCGACGGCGGCCAGCCACGCTCCCGCGGCCCCGGCGGGGCGCTGCGCTGCG